CCATAACAAACAAACAAACACTTCCTATGTAATTTTATCAGATAAATTATATTTTTGTTTTTACATGGTGGCGCTACTTTTAAACTCTCAGACCAGGATGTAATATTAAACGGTAGGGCATGTGCTGTCAGTTTGGTAGTTGAAACTGAGTGTTGTACTCGCAATTATTTTTATTACAACAAGAAATAATTTTGCGTTTGTGTTATTATGTGCTTTGCTATATTATTTTATAATATTCCTGTTTTTGTTAGTTTAAATATATCGAACGGATGCCTTTTAAGTGTAATCTTTTAAATTTTATTATTACATTTCATTATTTGAGTGAAGTAATTTGATCTCTTAATCTTGTTTAAACTTAAAGTTGAAATTAAAACTTTAATCTTATTCAAACTCAAACTAAATATTTTTGATGAATACTCAGTGGGGAAACTAAAGTGAACCTGTTGGTATCAGTTTTTTTTTGTTATTAGGTGGTGTTGGTAGTATTGCTTTATTTATTTAATTATGCATAAATCCATGATTGAGCCTGAAGTCGGACGTAATATTAATCATACCCTGAATTGAAAATGAAACTCTCAATTTCATATTCATGTCTTCGTCTTTTTTTATGGAAAACAATAACCATAGCGCCTAGGATAAAGAATAAAGTCAATAGTTAAGGTTTCAAGTTCAATACAAAGGTTTAATTTGTAAATGTAATCTGAATTGAAGTTTGAGTTCTTGTCTCTATTATCTTAATTTCATTTTTAACATTTGCAGAAAATAACAGGTGTTATTGTATTTTTGGCGAAATTTTGATACCACTTTTGTTTTCCAATATTTTATCCATCACTATTTACAGCTTAATATTCTTATTAATACTATAATAGTAAAGATAATAGATTGATATTTAGTTTTGTCATTCAAGTAATATGGTTATTATAATCTGAATCTAGACTCCTGTTATTAAAACAAACCAACAACAACAAAAAAACTTTTTTAAGGGACAGGTTTTTTTGGATAGGAAAATCTAAAAATGTTAGTAAAATATGAATGCATAGATTTTTGTTTTAGTCTTTGAAATGTTGTCTATGGTTGTTTCATTAACATTTGAAATATGCACCACAATTTAGCTTCCATTATTTGCGGTACAGGTTTACAAGTTTACAACTTGCATTATTGTGGCCCTTATTTTGGTCTTTAGCTGGGTATTTGTGTTATTTTATAACTAGGCAATATACTGCGTAGCATCAGAATTCAGTGACTTAATTCTTATTTCCTTAAAAAACATATTCAAATCATGATGATGGTAAACCTAGAAGAATTTGCTCAAAAGTTGGTATATCTATCAAAGTACAAGCTAGTAGTCCCCCAGGTCAGACAGCGGTAAGTTTACAGACTTACAATGCTAAAATCCAGAGTTTGATTCTTTTGCAGTGGTCACAGCAGATAGCCCAATGTGGCTTTTCTCTAAAATGAACAAAAACTTGTATTGTAGTGCTGATGCAGTGAATGTAGCAAAGTGGCTTTGTCAATTTATTGTCTAAGCCAAGACAGTTCATGTACTTTGTTTAACGATGCTTCATATAATATACCTTCCCAACACATAATCTGGACATTGATAGTTAAGTGGGGATAATTGCTTGTAAGAGTAAACTTGGTGAAAGTAAACCTGTTTACATTTAATTTGAAATTACATTTACTAATATCTAAGCCTAATCAACCTTTAAAATATTATCAATGGTATTAAGCAATATTTTTTGCAAATAGGCTACAAAAAGAATAATCGGAAAATCTTTGATTTAAAATCTTTAATATTCAAATTGAGAGCAACATGAACAGATATCTGTTATTTAGAGTGACTTTTATCAGAAGTATTAAACCAGCTATTGTTCTGTTCCCATTACAGAAAATTGTTTGGTATTTATCTCTGAAAGTTTGTATACAGAATGTTTTCAAATTGAGACTGATTTAAGAAGCATTGAAAGCAAAATTTTGTAACTGTATATGTATACAGATTGGTGGGCCATCAGTCACTGATGATAAAGTAGCTTGTCTTTCAACATTGTTAATGTTAAGATATTTATATTAAATTTGACATCATAATGTATGTGTGTGAAATTAATACTCATAATTATAGTTTAAATTAAGGTATCTCACATCTATTGCTTTAAATCTAGCATAGTTAAATGTCATTTACCATTTATTTTCTCTATTTGTCAAATGATTATGAAATGCCCTTTTCACAAAAGTCACTGTTACAAGTGAAAATTATTATTTTAATTGGTAACTTTTGGCTTAACCCTATGTACACAGGTGATGGACAAAGTAAGGATGCCATAATCATTTACAGGGTGCCATTCAACATAGTATTATGTATTTGATGTTAAAGTATTACTGTTTATTTTAGTGACAGTTTATGGTAGAAGAGATACTGAAAGAACTGTAGAAATGTATTTAGGTGGATCTAGAGGTTATGCAAACTGTGTGACGGTCATGTGTATTTTTGATCTCGCATGTACATTACCTTGCACTTTGTCAAACTGACACCGTCAACTCGCAGACATATCTTGAGTACAAATAATTTTGTAACACATCTGATTTTTTGTGGGCATACAATGGATTTATACATATTACCAAAAGCTTGTCACTTAAGTTTGGAATTATAGTTAACATTCTTTCTCCAATACGGGGTCGGTCCAATGGACATTAAGTTAAAGAACTTATATTAGGCTTAATAAATGTTTGAAATCTTGAATCTTACTTGGTTGTTGTTACACATGTGAATATTTCACTTTAGATTGGTAATGGATTTGAGCATGGAAACATTATTTTTTGGTTTTATTATTAAGGATGGTTTCTACTGTGCTACGTTAGTCTTGGTTGGCACAGTTGTAAGTTATTTGTAAAGAGATGATTACTGACAATTCTTCTGCTGTCATAATTATTAGAAGGTTAGTGTACAAAAGCATGAATCAAACCTCTATTATTGCTATTATTTTCTGTTCCTTTGTTAAAATTATTAAAATTAATTTTGTTTCTTGGCTTTTTGTGTATTTGCACAGTGATTGAAAAACAAAATGGATCCAGATCACAGAAAGATCCTGCAGTCAAACTTTGTAAAGCTGAGTGAGCTCATAAGTCTAAATGATGTTGTTCCATTATTGCTGGAAAAACACATATTTACGGAACACATGATTGAGGACATATTGGCAAGTTTTTTTTGGTTTTGCTAAAGTAACAGACTGCTATGAATTGTATGCTGAATTATGAGAGGCTTTGTCAGATGGTTTGTGATAAAAAAACATTTGAGGAATGAGAAAATAACATAAACCACTTAATTTACTTCTTACTGTAGGACCTGTTTTTACTGTACAAACAATGTCTATCTTGAAGCTCAACTAGTCTAAGTTTTAGGATTAAAAACACATGTAAAAATGTTATTGGGCTCATTTATAAACAATCCAACCTTCTTTTTTCCCGAGTCTCTGACAAAATAGTTTTATCCTGTATACATTCTTAACGTTAAAATTCATGTATTGCATGTTTGCAAACCTATGAAAGCATGCATGTAAATGCCATACATTTGTTCAGAATTAATTTATTTTTACACTAGCTTATTTAATTAGGATATTTCCATACCATTCACTAGAATTATACATAAAAAAAATAAAAATACTTTCCACAGCGCTAATTAATCTTTATAAAAATATAATTTTAAATGCATATTTAGCAAAAAAAAACTAAATTTGAGTGTAATTTGCTCATTTCAAAAAGTATAGAACTAATTACATGAGAAGAAACACCAGTAAATACATGATCAGTAGACAGGTTAATTTTTTGTTTGAATAGACTGAGTTTAAGCATTCTCTGTGTTTTGAGTCTAACAACATCAATAAAATCAGTTAAGTTTCTCGGCTCCAAACTCCACCACAAAAACATTTTAAAATTTTCTATGCTTCATTTTCTACTCATCTAACAAATATTTCAGGGATAAAAAAATATATATAATAATTTAATAACTAGACTTTAAAATTGGCAATTTTGATTTTAATTGGTTTTTTCATTATCTATTAAATTACATTAATGAGTATTGTTTTGTTTACAAGTTTCAAAAGCAGAAACCAATTTAGAAAACAGTTGTCCTGAGGGTGCATATCAATTGCTATTTGTATATTTCTGAAAATAAAATGTGTAAAGAAATTTGTTTATAATATTTAGATGTTATGAGGTACTGTATGTACATTTTCTTTTACATTAAGGACTTTGATTTGGATTTTGGTCATTCATAATTATATTCAAAATATTTTATCTATTTATATAACATTTATTAAGTTTTCTAATAAGCTATGGGCATGATCGGAATGATTGAAACTGTTAAGTCATTTGTATCAGAAATTGACAGTAGACGTTATGAAGAAACTTTTACAGTAATAAAAAGGACATAAACATACATACATACGGACATAAATGTACATACATACAGTATATTAATGAACAGATAAAAAGAATGAATACATACTGCATGTACATGTAAAAGAATGACTGTAGTTTTGTGGAGTATTATTTATTTTAATGTATAATATTATGTGGTGAACATTTATTTTGTGAATTTTTTAAGTGCTGGTTTCCTTAAGAGTATTTAACAGTGAAGTACTAGTAACAGGGTTTTAAATTTCTTGATGTTCTCACCATATAAACTAAGCTTTCAGAAAACTGTTCTAAGTACATTTGTGAATTAGTTTTTTTTTTACTTTTACAGGCAGAAAACACTGATACTGATCGCAAGCACAAGTTAATGTTAGATCTGCCTCGAAGAGGTCCAAATGCTTTTCAAAAATTTTTGGACATTTTATTGAAAACTGAGAACTACGATGCTGCTCTGATTCTTGATCCAGACATTAAAATTCCTAATGTTGTGTCTTCTGAATACTCATCATCATTCACCAGTTCATTCAAACATATTAGTATAACATCAGGTAAGACAGGTATAGGTATCTGTGTGGATGTTTATAAAAAAAATGCTGTTGAGACGTTTAAACAATAAGATATCCTGGAGGAAAAAAAGACATTGTAAGGTTAATAACTTGGTAAACTTGTCTTTAAGAATGTGAAACCATGTTTTATGTTTGTGCTGAATGAATTAGTAGCATTCTACAAAAAAAAAGCTCTAAAAATACATGCATCAAAATATTTTGAAGACACTTTTCCTTTTGAAAAGTTTTTGGAACAAGATGCAGACCTTTGATTTTGAGGCTTTCACTTTTTAATTTGATTATGGGTGCACTATTGATTGTGCTTCTCAAAACAATGGATATACTAATTGAAATGTATGTGATAATCATATGTTTTACATGTTTGTCAGGGTCATAATCACAGATTTTACGTGTTTGTTATGGTCATAAGCATAGATTTTACATTTGTCATGGTTATAAGCATAGATTTTACATTTGTCATGGTCATAATCATAGATTTTACATGTTTGTCATGGTCATGGTCACAGATTTTACATGTTTGTCATGGTCATATCCGAGTCTGAAGAGGAAGTAAAATATTTGTTTACCAAAGTTTGCCAAATGAACATTTCAAAATTGCTTTTCAAAGTCAAGTGGGAGTTTGGAACAGGATGCCAACAATGAGCTTGTTGTTGATGTGATTGTGTTTATTTTTATTCTGTTTATAGTTAGTTTGTGCTTTGTTTAACTGTTTATGAAACAATACAATTTTAATTAAAACCAGGCTCATCTTTGTGTTTGTATCTGTTAGTATAGCTGTAATCATGATCTTTGGCCAATGAAAGTAAATATTTTTGGTATTTCTAGAGCATGTTTAAAAAAGCCCATTATACACCTTTCTATGAAGTGGTAAATATAGAGGCAGGTTAGCTGTAAAATTTTGAAACACATGCACATATTCATATGTTATACCTTTATCCTAAGTAGGACTAACATTTTCCACAATTATTGTAAATTATTTTTATCCCTGCAACATTAACAGTAATTATTCATAGGAATATTTCTGAAAATGTTGTCCTTCATTCTCTTATATGTCCTGATGCTGTCCTGTACTTATCATTGACATAATATCCTGTCACTCTCAGGGTAAATCATTGACATAATATCCTATCATTCTTGGGGCAAATCATTGACATAATATCCTCTCACCCTCAGGGCAAAGTTATCAAGAATAAAGAATTGGTCTCCTATGATTTTCAAATCTGAAGCACTGAAGGTGTATAGCTTGGTAAACAGAAAAATGCTTAAAGTGTAAAGGTAATAGTTAGGAGAAAGGAACAGGAACAGAATATTATCGGAGAATGCACTAGTAGTCTCTGTGTAGGGATGGCACAGATGCCATTGTAAAATAGTCATAAAAGTAGTATTCTAAAGTTAACTAAAGGAAAGGTATAATGATGTAAGCTGACATTCTATTCAGAAACCAAACTTTAATAGACTAAGTTGGGTAGCCAGTAATGTAGGAATTTTATTCTCCACCTAAAGATGAGCCAGCTTATGATCATTAACTGGATCAAGTGATATGTCCATTTATATTCCTATCTTCTTTGGTTCCTTTTTCAAGTTCCATAGCCCGTCCTACATAGTTTTTTTATTTAGTGTTAAATTTTTTTCCGTTATGATATCTTCCCTCCTTTCATAAAATGGCTTTTCTTGATCAGTACTGCCCTCTATTGGCACAAATTTTCATTGCTCGTCACTAGCTTTTTCCCTCTCACTTCTGCATATCCACATGTAAATGATAATGCAGCAGCTCTCCACCAATAGGAGTGACACAACCCTTATCATAAACAATGCCCTCTTCACATTTGCACCTGTTAATAACTTCTCGTTTGGCAGTAGTACTGTACAGATGTGCTTGTTTTTACTTGCAAATTATGTCAACATTTTTATTTATAATACACACTTCATTTTTTTTAATATTTCTTTACTTTTTTGCATTTTTGAATTGTGAAAGGTTGCTTTTACCAACTTTTCTCACTTTTTCATTTTTTTTTTTTGTTTTTGTTTCATGTTTGGACATGTTACTGTGCACTAGCAGTTTCAGGTAGTTACACCTACCACAGCTGTTGCTGCTGATCCTGGTTTCCCAACTAATGCTACTGTGTTGAGTACTCCAATTATCAGCTGAGACACCAGTTATTTTATGAAAAATGTCCATGTTCATACAACCCTCACCACCATACGAGGAATATTTTGTCATGCCTGCTTCTGGGGTGTTTAACAGGGAGGATTGGAATTGGGACAGACTATTCCCCCCACCCCCTTAAATATACTTCCCAGTCACAAATGATACGGGGGATTTTTTCCCAGACCTCCTTCACTCTTTGTGAAATTAATTAATCGGGTTTGTGCTGTCTTATCCTTATCTCCTGTTTCTTATGATTCTCAATCTGACCTCCTTAGAGATAAATCTGTGGTCTATTATTTAGTGTTCCCTCTCTCACCTGAGGTTTGGGTTAGATGTTTGATCTAAGCAGATTTTTAACCTACTTACAATTCAACAAGGTTTAATTACACAGGCCTGCAGTGCTTTTATTGTCTTGATATTTTTAGATGTTCTACAGTATTTCCTGTACGCTGAATCCAAAAATGATATCCATTTTTCTCCATCACGTACAGATTTTTCACAAAACGTCATAACGCAATACATAAAAGAAAGACCACAACATGTAGTTTTGAGACTAAAATAGGATGAATGAGGATGCACATTCCTTTGACACCAATGTTTTCCCTTTTTTTCAGTTTGTTTCTATTTTTGCTAACAAT